TTGAATGAAGATAATGTTGCTATACAATACTATAGCTGTTTCTGTACATCTCTGAAAGCTGTTAATATTTTCTTTAAGTCTCTTTATATTTAATAAGTTAGTAATATATTTCAATACACTCTTTCTTTCATCATTATTATCATTATCATTATCATTATCATTATCATCATCATCATCATCACTATTATCATTATTATTACTATTATCATCGTTATTATTATTATCATTATTACTGTTATTATATTATTTCTAACTGTCTCTTCTGTCTTCACCTCTCTTCAACACTCACTGAAATTAATCATGTCATTTCTCTTCAAATATTCTGCAGTTCTGCAGATCATCAAGGCATGTGAGCACTGTTACAGATTGAAGAGAGAGAAGAAGAAGACATTTAAGTAAGAGAAGACAGATTGTAAGACATGTTATAATGCCTTGAAGAGACTCTGTAAGAAAGTAGAATAATAACAATTTTAAGTAATACTTCTGATAGATTTAGACTGAACTAAGTATAGAAATAATATAGATAATACTGTCTATAAGAGATTGAAAAAGAAGACAGTGAAGAGTCTTATACAGCAGTGATAAGATCAGAAGAAGTTCTAAGAATGATTTGATATTAAGATGAAGAGAGAGAAAGAGAAGAAGAGTATTACTATAAATAAGCAGTAGTAGAAGAAGATTAAGAGAATATTAAAGTAAGAGATAAAGAAGTTAAAACTGATAAGTTTTTTATTTATTAAGAGATAATGATTTTTTATAATACTTCTGTTCTCTAATTAATTAGTAGAAGCTGATAGAGAAGAAGAGAATTGAGATCTTATTCAGATCTTGAATGCACTTCATGATTCAGAATATTAAGAAGACAGCTCTACTCTCTGAGCATGTCAATCTACTTATCACTAAGATGAAATCTGAGACAGCAGACCAGAAAATGCAGGATTTTAGAGCATAAATTGACCTAACTGAGAGAAAGTAGTAGAAACTCTTCTCTGAGAAGACAGCAGAGAGAGATTTTGAGATAATTATTCTCTCAGATAAGAAGAAGAAGAAGAAGAATAAGAATAAGAAGTGAATTATAAAGAATGATAAGAAGAATGAGAAAGAGAAGAAAGATAATAAGTAGAAAAAGTTTTTTTCTTTTTATATTAGTTAGTTATAAGTTCATAATTATTAATAATTGAAATTAATTTTAGATTGTTAAAAATTATTGTACAAGTTGTAATCAATGTCAGGAATAATATATATATATATATTTAACTATCATGATTTACAAATCACTATAATGTATAAGTATCAACATTTTTTCAATATTAATATTCACAATATTAATATATTTTTAATAATATTATCCTAATAGTGCAATTTGATAACACTCTCTTTTACAATATTAATATTTTTCAAGAAATATAACAGAGATTAATCAAGATTATTTATTTACTTTTATACATTGATAATATTCAATCTGAGTTAGTACTAAAATTATAACTAAGCTAAGAAAGAAGATTATTTTCTCTTATAATAATTCTTCTTACACATATCAGTGATCAGTTATTATCTTTATTAAAAATAAATTATTATCTTTCTTAAATCTTTATTATATCTTCTGAATTCACTTCTTTCACTTCTTTCACTTCTATTGAAGATTTATAAACTTTTCAAGAAATCACTGTGAATTACAAAGTCTATATTGTTTATAATTCAGTACAGAATACTCTCTTTCAATCATAATAAATAATCACTTCATTCTTCACATCTAATTTCAGGTCATGAAATTTATGAAAAACTCAACACAAATATTGAGATGAACTATGAAATAATTATTAACAGATTATATTATAGATTACTGAAGAGTTATATCTCTGCTGTAATCACTGTAACTTCATTCAGAAATATTCATTATAAACTAATTATAACTCTGATGAAATTTTCTGATATCTGAAGTCATCAGAATATAGATAATAAAAGAGAAATAATCAGAAAATTACTACTGAGCTGATAAGTTACTCTATCAGATAATGATTTTTAGTAATACTAACTTTCTAATTTGCAGGAAATCATATGAAAATAATTATATATTAGTACTCTGATTTTATAACTCTTATCTGATAACTTCTGTGAATAATTACTTTGTATATATATATCTCTGAATCTTTCTCTTTAATTAATTGAAAATCCTGAATTCTGAACACTTCTTTAAATATTTAATTCAAATCTTTATATTTCATATCAATTATGTCTTCAGTTCAATCTCAAGACACATTACAAAGATAATATATAATATCTAAAATCAGAGTTGAAGAATCATCAAAGAGTGTTTCTTACAGTGAATACATGAACTAGTATAAATAATCTTACATTTATAAGAGTTATATGTTATTATATCAATGAGAACTGAACTTATTAAGAGATATTAATTGAAGTTGAATCATTAATCAGTAGTTATACTGAGAATTATATAATAGAGATATTAATAACAGTGATTAAAAATAACTATTGAAATATTAATTTTAGTCTTCTTATAATTATAACTGATAATGCTGTGAATAACTATACTATGATAAAGAGCTTGAAGTAAAAATTGACTTTGTATTTCTGAAATAATAAATAAGGTCATATTCTCTACATTGCTCATATGATTTAACTTATGATATAAACACTGATAAAGAATTTTAATATTAAGATAATAAATAATGAGATGACTGATTCTTAAGATGAGAATAAGATAAAAGTGATTACTTAAGTAACTTTTACATTCACTTTATAAAAGATAATGTTTTTTAATAATACTTTTTAATATTGCTTTTTAATAATACTTTTTAATAATACTACTGTTAATTTTGAATAGATTGATTAATAATTTAAATATTATAGATTCAAAATATTATTAATATGATTTGTATCTTCTCTAAATAATAATAATGATTTCATGATATTTAATAAATAAATAAATCAGTCACATTACTGAATATGATACAGAATATTAAAATACAGTGAAGTTTAATATATAAAATAGCTATTCAGACTCTTTAATTATATCAGATAATTAATTATTAAGTGTAATACTCTGATTAAGAAAAGATTCAGATATTGAAACTTTCTGATATAAAGTGAACTCAGTTGAAATATATGATTAATTTACTGTTTCAGTTTTATAAAATAATGAAGACAGTCTCAATCACTTATATATTAATACTACAGTCAGTCTGATAAGTGTATAACAGTTTATTTACTCATCTTAAAAAGCAGTTGAATCACTTAAAAAGAAATTCAGTCTGAGATAATGCTATAGTGCAGGCTATTATTACTATAAGAAATAAACTAGTATATTATTACAGTAAAACTGAACAATCTTTTACAGAGTACTATACTATAACAGCTCTACTAGATTTCTCTCATTGAGTTAACATCTACACTTCTCAAGATTGAATAGAGAAGAAATGAGACTTATATATTAAATTAGTCTGAGACTACTATAATACTAACTATCAGAGATTTGAATAAGCAGATATTAGAGATTTTAAGACAGTGAAATACAATTCTCTAATAAGTAATGATCTTTTTACACTTCATTTATATAGAACTATAATACTAACT